GCGTACTTTAATGCAAAGGGTTTTTCTCATCCATAAAAATACCGCTTATATTCGTTGACTTCACTTGAGGGGTTAATAAAATATATGATTTATTTCAAGTGATAGTTGATATAAGATATTCTTTAGATTTTCAAATTGATTTCCAATCATTTCTGCATTCCTATTATATTTTTTCCTAATTTCTTGCGCTCCTGGATATTTTTGACTATATTGTAATCGAAATTCCTTCCTTTCCTTGCAAATTTGTAGTTTTCTAATTTATTTTCGAATTATTTCCGCATTCCTTTATATTTTTATACCCTGAACCCATTAAAAATGGGTATAAGGCTATATTGTATTTGTGCAAAATCCAAATGTATGTAACAGGCAGAAGGAAGCATCTTCGACCCCATAAAGTATATATATTCTTAATCAGCACCAATAGCCGAGTCGATCTAGCCATGTCCGTCTGTCTGTCCGTCCGTCCGTCCGTATGTATGAACGCAAGGATCTCCGAACCTATGAGAGCTAGAGACTTAAAATTTTAGATGTAGATGCTCCTAGTTCTAGCGCAGATCGAGTTTGTTTCCGATAATCGGTAACTTCCTCCGTTTCCAAGCAATCGATAAGAATCGATATCAATATCCTGTTTTTTGGGCAATTTCGGTAAATAATAAGAGCTAGAGTCACCAAAATTGACATATAGCTTCTAAAATAGAATATACATATGCATTTGATGTTGGAAGAAGAGGGTTCAGGGTATCCCCTAGTCGGGAGCTCCCGATTAGAACCTCTTGTTTGATTTAAATACCTGCTTTTCGTGCATATTTATAGTTTTCCAATTTACTGTCCAACTATTTCCGCAATTCTCTATATATTTTGAAGTATTTAATTAAGAATTATTTATGCATTCTCTTTATATGACCTATTTTTATTTATTCTGATTTTTTATTCCAAATATAATCTTTAAATATGTCTAGAAACAAGATTTCAAAATTTCAGCTAGAATATTCTCTCAGATCTTTGAAGTTAAGATAAGCTTTATCTTTACTTTTCGGCGATATCTCCGACACTGTAAGAGGAAAGTCTCTTGTCATAAAGCTTGGCCTGAGTTTGTTTTTATGTTGTTTGGCAGATCGGGTCACTTTATTTTGTAGCTGGAATAATCGGACCATTCATGATTAACTTTTTAACTAAACCAAACTGGGCATTAATTAATTTTGACATTTTACTAAAAAATAAGCCAAATCTTAACAAGATCCGTAAACTTTACAATAACAGGGAAAAACTTAGCCAAAAGTTAGTTGTTTTCCTTTTTTTTAGATATCTAGACCTAGCTCCGCATTACGAGTTTGCCAAACTGCAAAGCCGTCAGCCATATGTAGGGTATTTAATCTTCGGCGCACCGTAGCTTGCCATTCTTGTTTGTTTTTCTATGTTAATCAATTATTTCGTTGGGAGCATTTAAATGTACGCATCAAGTACAAAAGCTCTGACATGTGTACCATACCTAAAACAATAATACTTATATAGAGTATTGTTATCTGAATCAATCTGATGTTGTTGCTGTTGGTTTTTTGTCGACTTTGCGGCTTGCATTATATATTTAATAAAATCGTTTGCATTTCTTATGTGTTGCTAAGTGTCAGCGGGCATCTAGTTTGATTTATGACCCGCAAAGTTATGCCCCAATAATATCGAGAGATAAACTTTTTTAGCTGCCAGTGTGTCGTCTTTTTTTCTGCTTCTTCCGCTGCTCATTGCTGATGTTTTTGTTGTTGTTGTTGTTGTTGTTGTTTCTGTTTATCTGGGTTAGGTTAACGACAACGATGACTAAGGCCTTTTTAAATGTTAAGAGTTGTCATTGTTTTTGCTAAAGTTGCGTGAATACCAATCATAATTTATTCACGTGTGTGGGTGGCTGTGCATATACTATACTATATACATATTTGTGTATGTACTATATATCATGACACACACGTGTACATACAATTTATTACAGTCTAATAGCCCGCCCCCGCCACCATCACACGCCACGCCTCTGCGCAGTGAGGCAGCAAATATTCATCGGATTGAAACCAATTGGTTGCCTTGGAGGCAGGACATTCTAGAAATTTGTCAAGCATAATACCTGATAATCAATTGACTAACAGCACTAACTGAATAATGAATCATTTGCTAGTGTGTGTGTGAGTGAGCGTGTGCGTGTGTGTGACTATCAATCAAAATGGCTGCCAACGCTTGCTAATTAGCAAATTAAAAATGTTACAAGGTTTTTTTGGGAGCACACTGTTTTGGTTCTAGCTGCCGCATTTAAAATGTTGATTTTTGTGCAGCACGAAAAACTCATTAGTAATTAAATATTTTCCGACGCAGCGACAATGTCCCGTAGTTTTCTTAGCGCTTGTTCTTGCTGTTGTCGTCGTGTTCGCACAGTCGGAACTTCCGCACTTCCGTTCGAGCGCTTCGTCTTCTGCTGGCACACACAGCGTATACGCAATTTTGTTGTTGTTGTAGCTGTTGTTTTCTTTTCGGGCTTGTGCGTACATATTAAGGCCGTAAACAAGTGTACGGCTACGGCTAGGATGGCGGCGCCTGGGCTGTTGCCTGTTCTGGGCCGTAGCCCTGAGCATGATTTGTTACTGACAGCGTCTCAGGCAGAGGCTCCAGTTCTAGGGAAAGGCTGAGTTTGATTTATTTCACGCTGTACAATTTATGAGTGAAGGTGAAGCAGCAGCAGGAGCTGCATTTCATTGAGCTGAGACTATGGCCCGATGGGTTACACACTCGCACACACACACACACACACATTAATATATCTATATAAAATATGTGTGTTACTTGGGCCTTACTGCGCGCCTGGCTGCAGATACGCAAAATATTCCCAAAAGACTTCAAATGCCTTTGGGCCAACAAACACAGCATGTTAACCGGGCCAACAACTGCTGGGCCGGCCCATCTTCCACTCTAGCCTGCGCCCGGCTGGCCATTATGATAGATGCGGCGGCTGTGCTTAGCGTTATGTACTACCATTTTGCTTTACTGTACCATTAGCACTGGCACTTGACGGCTTTTATTTCAATTAGTATTGGCTCGAGCAGAATGCCAGCGCATGCTACAATCAGCATAAATGCTGCAAAGTGTTGCCTACTTTACAGCGCTGCCGCAGCCCTTTCTCCACCCGTCAACCGGCCACGTTCACTGCCATGGTGCTGCCTACTTAGCGGCTTCTTTTTTGGGAACAACGCGCAACATTCTGACTTTGGTATTCCGAATAAAGGAACTATCTACAAACGCATTTTGCGGACACTTAGTCCTGCAACTGCTGCAAGTATATCAAGTCGGATTAAAATTTAATTTTCAGATATTCTTTGAAAACAGCCCCTCTTGATGTGTGCCTCAAAATGCCAGCTCAACGTACTCCAAAAATTCCTATCTGCATTTTCAACTAACGCTGTAAAAAATGGTTTTCGATGGCAATAGTATGTATGTAAATAATAAATATAATATAACTAGCAGGTATACCCCGGCCATGCCCGTGGCACCTACAAAATAAATCCATCGGTAACCCAAAAACTTACATACAAACTTTTTCGCTAATTATCCACTGTTGTGAGTAAAATTTCCCAAATCGCTGAAACACGTATTTATTAAGTTCTTATGTAGAGTTTTGAAAATATGTTTAGAAGCAATTTGGACTAAACTTACAACTTGACGAAACAAATCTTTGAATCGCATTTTCCCCCGAAAGATGAAAGACGTCTTAAATGATATTTCATATGCATGGAAAGGAATTTGAGCGGGAAACATCACCCACCAAATCTTTGACCCGCATTTCTAACAAAGAGGAATGGATTTTACAAATAGTGCGAAACATTTCTTTACAAAATTTTGAACACAGATCTTTCAAAAGGAGTTTGAGGCCAATCGGTTGGTAAGCAAAAGAGTTTCAAACAAACGTTTTTCGCACAACGCCTTAACGTGGACATTCATCACATAAGGTAACTACAGTGAAAATTTCAGCTTCATACTCTTACGGTATGGATTATGCCAGTCAGTCAGTTAGTTAGTCAGTTAGATAGTCAGTCAGTCAACACAGATAGTTTTATATGTAGAGATAACAATTTTAATTTTGGAATAATTAAATCTACGTAAAATATTTTCATTAAACTTGTTTACTTACAGCAATTCTTCGTCGTATTTAAACTTACAAATCTTTCAAATATCTAAAATAAATATAGAAAATAAAAGAAAGGAAAATTAAACAAAATAAAAAAATAAACACAAATATTAATATGAATATGAATAAATTCCATCAGATATGTTCCTAAGTTTATTTTCTAAAATTATTCAAGGATTCACGTGCATATTGTTGATTTCATCAAACCCTTTAAAGGCCCAATTAAAAATATATTTAAATATAAAATGAGGAAATAAAAAATAAGCGAGTAAACAACTATGAATAAATTGTTCAACTTTCATAGTTTTTCAATGCAATAAACCCTTAAAAAATCCTTAAATTCTGTCGAAATGATGATGGCGAATTTAATGAAATGCAAATGAATATATATATGTATATGAATTTATAATATTGGAAATTCAGTGACTTTGCTACCGAGTTGGTCTTTTATCAATTACCAAGCAATTGCAAAGTGTTGTCAAATCTGCGCCGGAGGGTCTGCTCAAATCGACCATTCGATTCGCTCATATGTGTGGGGAGTGCAGGTGCGCGGAGACCTTTATCATTTTTCAATTACCGGCTGAGCTCGCGCGTCTCCTCTTACCTCCTTCCCCTTGGATCCGACCCTTGTGCAACAAAGTGCAATTAAGCCGCATAATCTCAGACATAGCCAGGGGGGCAATCTATGGCGGAAAGCCAGTGTCGTAAATGTTGTTCAATTGCTCGGAAACGGGTGGAAGATTGGTGGGAATATCGAATTTCGGGTTCGTGCACATATTCATAATGCCATTAATCATGTGTTTTTTTTTTTAAATTTAATTTTGCACTCGCAGTGGCACAATTAATCATAATTAATCTAGATGACAGTTAGTATAGCAATGCCTATATGCGTGTGTGTGTGTGTGTGTTTACATATGTTGTGCACACCTTCAATTTGTATTTGACGGGCGCGACAGTTTAACATGGTTCTTGTCTAATTAAGATTAAACATATACGTATTTACATTATTTTTCTATTTTTCGATATTTCGATTTTTCAATTATTCGATTTAAAGTTTGCATTTTCGTTTCACTTGGCTTAGGGCTAGTCGATCGCACGATTTAAAGATGTATCGATGAATCGACATGTATTATTTGTTGTTATTTTCACTTAACTATGTATAAAAATACTTAAAGCTGTCCAAATGAAAAACCCAATTCGATTTACAATATATACACAGATGCATCTCTACCTCCTATGTACAGCGCTTGTATGTTGGGCTGTGTGGGCGTGGCATCAGCATCCCTTCGGGTCAAAAGTGCTGTAAAGTGGGCAATGAAATCAATTGCGAACGTTCCCCAAAGAGCTGTCGCAACGCAACTTACCCCTATGCCCACGCACCCCACCGCCCAAGGGCTTACGCTAAAGCAGACATCAAACATAAGTTGCGGCCCAGAGCTTAGACGAAGGCCAGCTGGCGCAGGGGGCGGTGTGGCATATGCTGCAGCAGTAGGAGCAGGCCAAGCAGCAGCCACAGGCTCGGGCCTCCAGCCTCCAGTCGAATGCCCAGCTCATGCTGCATGGCCGCGTGCTGTTCGCTCTTAATGATATGCACAAAGACGCTGTCAGAGTCTGCAGCAAGAAGAAATGGGCGTGGTAGATGAATCATGGGCGTGTGTGTGAGTGGGTGCGAGTGTGTGTGTGTATGTAAGGTCAGCTGGCACTCACTTGAGTTATCCGCGGAGCACGTGTAATTGCCGGAATCCGTGTGCAATACACGGGATATAACCAAATTGCTCGTCTTGATTTGCTGTTCGGAAATGACGCGTATGCCGCCGCGAGTCGAATCGCTCACCAGTTCGGTGTCCTTGTACCAGAGCATGTGTGTGTAGGGTCCTGGCGCCTGGGGTGCTATGCATGTCAAATTGATGTCGCTGCCGCTTTGGATGAACAGTTCGCGATTGGCCAAGATTTGTGCCTTGGACGCTGTCAATAGATCGCAAAGGTTATGTCAATTACAAACTGTTGGCAGCACTGTGTTCCATTCCGCGCGTTTCCCTCCCTTTTTTTTTGGTTTTTTCTTGAGTACCCAAAACTCATTAGTATTTGCTGCTGCTTCTTGTTGGCACTCGCACCTGACGCTCAGCACAGCTCGTTAAACTAATGCACGACCCCTGCCCCGCCCACTCTATTCCTCTGTGCCTTGGTCCCCTTCAATCCTCTGCAGTTGTTTGCCATCCCAATTTGAATGTGAAAGTTTCTCTTTTTCAAGTATTAAATGCTAGTTTATGTTGTCAAACTAGTTTTCAGCATGATGAGTTTTGCAAAATCGTAACTGAATTCCAACTAAACTGCAACTTTTAGCCAGAATTCAAGTTGTGTTAATAATAACTAAACTATTACAAACTTATAAATGAATTATATATATATTTCTGTTTATTTTATTATTTTTTTAATATTACTGTTTCCATTTTTAATTTGGATTTTGATATATTTTGACCCAGTTTTATTTTTATTCTACTCTTAATTTGCTTCTTTTCTCCATTCTCCGCCTAATTGTCTGTCTTCTGACATAACCTCACACATTTTTTTTTATTATTATTATTTTTTTTGCGGCTTTTTTCTGTTCTCTGCTTGTTGTGTGCACAATTAGTTTCTTTTATATCTCATTAACACTTTTCCCTGTCAGCACGATTTCAGTCAGTCTTCACTCGTTCCTTCGACAATAGTTTATCTTGGGATTTCTGTTTTTTTTTTATTCTTGTGTGTTTTCTCTTTTACTCAGATAAAAAATAAATGTTGCAATACAAAATGCTCAAAAATAAACAAATAAATTTGCTTTGACTTGGTTATGGTAATATAAGTTTTGTGTCACAAAAATGTAAAAAAGTAATTGCTTGGCATTTAGATTAATAATTACATAAATATATATTATTAACATAAAATAAAAAATATAAATATAAGCGTTAATAGTTGGTATCAAGGTTTCCACCCGTTTTAAAGTTGCGTGCGGAATTTCGCAAGTCGCGTATTTAAGTTTTTTGTAGAGCTTTGAAAAACTGTTGTAAGTCGTTCGGACAAAATGTAAGACTTCACACATTTTCGAAAGTTTAAAATCGACTTAAATAAATTTTTTTTTATCTTTTCAAATAAGTTTGACTTCCAAACTTTGACCCTCATATTCCCTAAGAAAGGTGGGATATTTTGAAAACTGTGAAACACCTGCCCGTTTAATAAATTTACACAAAGCGGATTGAAAATGAAAATGATGCCTATCGGATAGTAAACAAAAATGTAGAATACAGCCGATTTTCGTGATTTTTCCACACTTGCGCGTCGAGTTTATCAAATTCTCGTCTTTTCTGTTTTATATAACATAACTAACAAGCAACAAGGTAGAAAAACCAAAAGGTTAGCTGTTTCTACGTGATAAAATTCTTCCGATTTTGTTAATAGCAGTCTCGGCTTGTTGCCCTTTTGGCGCTATAACTCATTGTGAATTACAAGCGTTAAGAAAAAGGAATTTGAAAAAGGAATTGAAAATAAAATTTGATAAACTTATCTAAAAGTTTTATAACTTAACTCAATATGCAAGCCCAATTCGTTGCCCGATACTTACTCACAACCATCAATTTGTAGGCGAGACTTATTTTTGGCTCCGTGGAGACCTGGCACTCATAGACGCCGGCATCGCGTGGCTGCACCGAGACGACCTTGAGCACCCACTCATCGGAGTTGTCAATGTGCCGGGCCAGAAAGCGTTGATCATTGGTGTAGGTCATGATGCCGATGGTGAGTATATGGAGATCCCGCTGCCGGATCCAGGAGACGGCACGATCGCCTAGATTACGTACGCGACAATGCATGCGAGCTGTCGTGCCCAAGGCGGCGATTATTTCACGCTCCGAGCTATTATCAAATTGCGGCTCGTACTCCTCCGGTATCAGATTGGAGAGCTCCGTGGCCAAAGCTGTGGATGGCAGTGGTAGCATATATAGAACTTGGCTTACAATGTGATCTAAGGCCAGTGTCAATAAACGCTTGTCAAGTGTGGTTGCAGACTACAATGCGAGACTTGTCGCACTCAATCATGCACCCATACACACACACACATACTACTATACACGCACTTGAAAAGGGTATTAAATAACTGTATCTAAATGTCAATCTTAATGTATTCATGTGCATTTATATTCAACATCAACGTCTACGTTTCTATCCAAATGGCATGAAGGGCAAACACTTGGCTACATGTTGCAAAAGACAGCTCGGCAAATGGATATGAATGAGTGCGAGTGCGAATGATTGTGAGTGTGAGTGAATGGCCAGACAGCATACGAATCATTTGATTAACGAGTATTTGTGCTTAATTTATACCAAAGTTTGCCTTCTTATTGGCATATCTACTGAATACTTTTCGTGTATATGTGTCCATGGCTAAAAAGCATTCGTATTATGATCCATCATTGGGGCCCGCACTTGAGGCTAGTGATTTATGTGGAGGCCGCTTTATCAACATCGTGTATTAGCCAACTAATGCGCTAATAATCCACGAGTGCCTAAACAAATACAAATACAAACACAGAAGCACACACAAATACAGTGTGTTTGTGTGTGTGTGTGTGACTGCCAAACATACATTATGCTGCTCATACGCATGTATTTATATTGATTTATATGCACGCCCATTAGCCCTTGTGGGGGGCTATCAAATATCGAGCAATAAAATGCCGTTAAACACTTAATTGAAACTGTTGCTATTCGCTTCCGTCCCGCAGGCTTCACGTTTGCCGCCAAACATTTAACAAATGAAATTGTTTTTTCTTTCTGTTCGCTGCACAGCAGAAAAAATCACACACACACACATTCGCACTCATACGGGCACCGTAAAATAACATAAAAATATTTGTATTTTTTTTAATAAAAGTTTTGTATTTACATGCAAAGTGCGCGGCTACTTTCAAAAGTAACTGGAGCCCAGTTTTTTTCGGTTTTTCAAACTGTTGAGTTTAACCGCAGCTCGCCAGTAACAGCCCCCATCCCCCACACACTCACATGTGAGCACTAAAACTGAGGCCAGGTGCCATAAATACGAAATGAGAAATTGCATTTGCTTTACCTTACTCAAAAAACGAAGAAGAAAAATGATACAAAATGTTTATACAAATAAACACCCGCACACTCTGCCTCCTTTTTTTTGGGTCTAGCGAATGAGTAGTTGGATGTAAAATATAACTATTTATTGGGATATTATTCCGTGCGGACGTTCGACCTTTAAATATTTATATTCATATTTATTTATTTTCATATTTGTTCATATGCAATATGAAAGTGAAGTTCAACAAGGCTGTCAATAGGCTCAGTTATCAATTAAAATGAACTAGCGCCGGAACTGAAGATGACCTTTTAAAATATTGAATCATTTATCAAGAGAACGGAACGGAATTTTCCAATTTTAATTTGCTTTAAGACTTGATATTTTGTTTCTCTAATTTTGAAGAGCAGCTCATATAAACTGCAGCTTATAAGGCTGATCAATTTTCTAGAAGCTTAGTAGCTGATTAATTAAATAACCTTTTTTCCGGAACTAGTGAAAGCTCAGTGGTTGATTGATAAAATTATCTTAGTTCCGGAACCACTGAAAGGAAACTAAAAGCTCAGTATTAGAAGTATCTCGGAACTGATTTGGTTTCAGCTAAAATGTACTTTTGAGTTGCTTTATTGATCAGTTTAAAGCTCACAAGACAAAATTATCTATAGTTCATTCCAGCGGATAATGTTCAGCTGATTTATCACATAGTTCAACAACTTCAAAGTAGCTAAGACTCAAAAATTATTCAGTTTTTGAATTAAGCAAAGCTTTAAGTTTTATAACAGCTCACGTTTGAATGATTTAGCTAGTTTAATTGATTTTCCAATTTCTTAACCTTCTTTTCAAAGCTCTCATTTCTTTATTATACACTTTGTTCTGGAAGTTCAGTTTCTCTAAGTTTGCAATTAACAAAATCTTGTTTTACTTTATTACTCTCTAAAGCTGCTGTGCAGTAATACAAAATCAATGTAAATCAATATGAAACAAATTATTCTAAATTTCTTAGTTATTTACATAATTTTGATTGGCCGAACATTTTTAATTCAATCACATGCACATTACTGAGCATTTTTCAATATTCATTCTCTGCCTAATTAATTGATGTGAGGCAATGCTGGCAGATTTGACAGACAAAACGATCTGGCAGCCCTGAATATTTGCATGTGCCTGTTAAGTTGGCTGCGGTTAAACACTCTAAAAACAAATAAAGAAATGCATGCTGGATGCTTAAATTGTGCTGTGATTGAAACTACTGAAATAAATAATAATAATATATGTTTTTCAAGTCCAAATTATTTTACAGCTTATTCCTAATGACAAATTTGTATCCATTTGGTAGAAGTTCTTCAATTGCAAAACTTGTTTCAATTTCTCTCAACAAACTTGCAAGTTTTATTGATGAAATTTGATGCTGGTTGCATTTGCTGATGGTGTTGGGTACTTACCAAAGTGTTGCATGTGGCTGGTGATGCGGCTTGTGTGCTTATCGAATGTTGTGGTTAATCCCATGATCACAAGCATCGCCATAAAGTATTCCAACAACATTTCATGCGCAATTTGTGACGCTATTAAATTATAACTGCAACCAAGGACGACAACAGCAAAAAGTAATTAAAATAAATGATGGCAATCGCAAAACTCGAGACAAAGACACTCTGCCAGCGACTTAAATGAGTCAACGCCATATTGTTTTTACCAGCCGCCGACCGCCAACAGCCAACAGCCAACCGCCAACCGCCATGCTCAATTTATAAGGACACTGGACACGTCGGAGGAGATGGGGTGCGGCGTAACCGCTGCGGAAGGGATTAGATTTTGAGTTCTAAGTCTTAAGTCTTATCGGAGACTGAGTCAGAGACGGGCGCACATTTATTTGAAATGATGACAAGTCCGCAATGCGGTTGAGTTTTCAATCACCATGAAGGCCGCTGGGCAAGCGCGGAGCGCGATAAGCGGTGGAGCAGTAGTTGGGGTGCGGTGAATGTGCCAAAGTTAAGCAATTTCTTCATTACGCACAAAGCTGCTGAGAAATTGATGGACGTCTACTTTTGGGGTGCCCGTGGCTATAATTTCGGTCTGGTCACGTTTTACTAATACACTTAATTGCACGAGTACTCATACTCAATAGAGATACTCATGAGTATTCATGAGTATTGGCAGACGCTTTTGCGGGTATTCGAATTTCTGTTAGTGTGTGTGTTTGGCAGACGCACCTTTTTGCGTAGGACTAGAGGGATTTGCTGTCGATGCGCTTGGATTCAATGTAGCGCGAATTGCGTGCCGCCATTTCATGCGTCGCGTAACGCATTCGACCGCGTGGCGTTACGTGTTACGTAGCGCGTTTCTCGTATTTGCCGTTGCCTCTTTTCGAACTTTACGTCATAACAAAATTGCGACACTCGCTAATCTAACGAGCCGCATGAGCACCGTCACGTGTTTCGTGCTGCGTGTTGCTTCGTGTTCAACTCTTGACCGAATCACAGCCAGTCACAGTGAGTCACCGGGTCACGTTTGCAGTACTCTGTGCGTGCAACGCGTTCCGACAGGCTTGAGGCGCGTTAAACAACTGAATTCGATGTGAAAACTAACCTACGCAAAGAGTGGTAAATGCAAATGTTCTTCGCTCCGGCGCAGGCGCTCTGCTGCCCATTTGGCAGCAACATGTTGCAGCAACATTTATTGTAAGCGTAATTTAATTGTAGCATATACCATTTGGCAGTTCCTGAGTAGGTGTAACACACACACACGCATATACCAATCTATTGGAATTTCAAGCTTCTTTGCTGTGGGGCAAAGTGTTTATGAAATATTTAACAAGGCTTTGAGCATAGCGCCAAAAGCACATACAAAATGTCGTTTGATTTTTGTCACGCAACAACAACAGCAACAACATGAGAAACAACAATGGGTAAAATAAGGAATAAGCGCAACAATTGAAGCAGAAACAGGAACAACATTAATAAAAAAAGGCAAAAACTCATGCATGACAAGGCGCGTTTTACAAGTTTTGTCAGGGCGCGTCTCAATTGAAAACGGAAAATACACACTCACACTAACACACGCACATACCGTGACCCATTATGTTAGAGCGGAAACGGATATGAAGCCTGTCGCAGCTGGGTGGCAACTCTCTGCCAGCGCCTTATCAAAATCGATGGGGCAACATATGGTTGATTTTAATTTTCTAGCACACAGACAACGGCAATGCCAGCGAAACCAACACACACCAACACAAACCAAAACACACACACGCGCACATCGTCCATGCAAATTCGTTTAACATATTTTCTTTGGAAATTGAATTTTCAAAGTTATTATAAATATTATTGTCAGACAAATGCAATTTCAATGGAATTTCCTATTTTACCTACGCGCATTTTTTTGCTAATACAAAAACAGAAAAGAAAAATTGAGAAAAACAAATCATCAAATAGCCGAAAAGGTGTCGCTCAGCAGACTCTTGAGCATAATACTTACGACCTACTTCTGCTCCTCCCCGTTCTCTCCGTCCAATACCCCAACACACTAGTCTGCTTGGCATCTATTATTTTACACTAACAAGACAAAACATTCCTCAACTAAGCGGCGACATTTTACCGAGCTCAAGCCCCCGCAACGTTCTCGTAACAACCACCCCCCCAACAAACAGCACCCCACCCATTTTCCGCGCAACACATCGCTCAATGCCCTAAGTGAATTTTTATGCACAATTGGGTAGCTTTACTTGTTGGGGCTTCCGCTTTAGTTGTAGGGGGGAGGGAAAAGTATTTATCTAATAAAAAGTTAAATATTTCACCGAAATATACTTTTCTATCGAGCTAAAATAAATCGTAATTTAGTGTAATTTATACTGACACTGAATTAAAGTCGCGGTTGAATCAATTTTTAAATTTAAGGTTTGCTGTAAATATTTTCATAATAGAATATTTATTAAAATTCAAATAATTTAAAGTAATTTAAGCTTTGCAAATTAAGGTAATTATTTCCACATAAAGTTACGTAAATACCAAAGCTCTACAGCCTTTACGATTCCTGCACATTTATTTTGAAGAGTTGCGCAATAAACAATTGTATACTTTTTACATAATTAATATTATGTGATTGCTGTTCATTAGTTTATTATCAGACAAACTAATTATTTGGGCACATTTAAAATGTTCACCTAATTATTCCCAAATGCTCATTTACAGACAGTTGATGGGCCGCTTGTTACCCTAACTAAGTAGCCAGGAATGACATAAGACCTATTATAAAGAACGAGATAGATGGCAAAAGCTTGTTCTTGTTTGTGAGCAAGCAATATATTTTAACTTGGTAAAAAAAAATATCAAGGTATAAGAAAGCAAAATAATTTATTAGCTTGGCGCGTAATAGATATTTTTTGTTAGATTTTCTACTCCAAGGACACGACTGAGAAAGAAAAAAAAAACAACTTTAAATCGCTAGGCGCTGTTAAATTTAATACTACAATAAACATTCTTTGTAATGTGCGAAAAAAATATTAAGGTATATGTATTGTAAATTATATGATTTATATGATATTCATAGTACTTATTCATTGCATATATTTTAACTATTAAAAAAGTATTGAAAAAATATTAATTAATTTCTTTACATAATATGGAATTTTTCATTTCGCTTAAAATAACTATTATTATTTACTGTAAATAATAAAATAACTGTAAAATAACTGTATATATATATTATTCTTGGCATTATAAATTATGTAATTGTCCTTAGAAACCCACAATTAAGAACATTTTTTTTTAATTGTTCAATTACTTGGCATTGTATATATATAATATATATTATAATAATATTGTATATGTATATTGATGAAATATTAATTAATTAATTTGCCAAAAGTTGATGCCTACTCCATTTGGTTTAAAATAATTATTTATATATTCCGTTCAATTACTTGGCATTATAAATAATTTTAAATAACCCTCAAGCGCCAACACCTACAAATATTGTCTCTAAAGCGAGCCAGAACATGTGGCTGCTATACTGCCAACTACTTGAAAGCGGGATAGAAAACCCCCTTGGCGTGTATTAACTGACCTGTGTAAACTTTGCTCGGACAGTGTATTTTGTTGTTATTATGCCTCATGTCGGGAATGTGTTAAACAACCCTTGGCGGGCGACCTCTGGTACTCCATTTGTTATTGTTGCTGAGAGGCTTCGACGCGTTGCGTCTTCGATTTGGACATTGATTGCATACAGAGTTGATGGAAATGCCGACACTCGGTGAGGGGTACGTACTCAAGCGGGGAAAGGGTAACAGGTGATAACATGTTGTTATCCCGACGGGTGGCGGCATCCCATCCACCGGGAAATTGAATGTGGGGCGTGTGTAAAATTGATAACTTTGTTTGTGTAAACAGCGTCGCGACATTCAACCAGCCCCAGTCCTCAGTCCCCAGCCCACGACCGCCTTATTCCCAGCCCCCAAGCTGAACCGACAAATTTTACTCGACATGATGTATGTGTGCGTTACGTGTACATGTTTATCGCGCATACGTTACGTTGGCTCTGGGTACACACACACACACACACACACACACACACACACACACGCACACACACACACGCACACACACACACGCACACACGCACACATGCGAATTATCGGTGTCAATTTTTATGCTGCTACGTGTGCGAAATTTAAGGGAGAGCAGCTGATGATGAGTGGACGCACACGCCATGGTCTACCTTTTGCAAAAAGAATGCAACAACAACAACCTGAACAACAGCAACAACCAGCAGCAGCAACAACGAAATAGCACATAAAACGATGTCGCCCAATTTGGCATTACATTTTGGTCCATTGTTGTCGACATTGAGTCGATAACGAAATGAATCCAAAAGCGAACCAGAAAGCAAAGCGCTTAGTGAGCAAGAGAGTAGCTGAGCTGGACGGAATAAAAAAATAAACAAAAATAACAATAAGCAAGTAAGAGGTTCTAGTTGGGAGCTCCCGACTAGGGGATACCCAGAACCCTCTTCTTCCAACATCAAATGCATATATATATTCTATTTTAGAAGCTGTATGTCAAGTTTGGTAACTCTAGCTCTTATTATTTGTCAAAATTGCAGGATATCGATATCGATTTTTTTCGATTTCTTGGAAACGGAGTAAGTTATTGATTATCGGAAACAGACTCGATCTGCGCGGAAACTAGGAGCATCTACATTTTCATTTCAAGTCTTTAGCTCTTATAGGTTCTGAGATCCTTGCGTTCATACATACGGACGGACGGACGGACGGACGGACGAACGGACAGATAGACGGAGATGGCTAGATCGACTCGGCTATTGATGCTGATCAAGAATATATATACTTAATGGTGTCGGAGATGCTTCCTTCTGCCTGTTACATACATTTGGCTTTCGCACAAATACAATATACCCTTGTACCCATATTTAATGGGTTCAGGGTATAAAAAAAACAAAAACAACAAAACTAACGGCAAACAACTTTAAGTGCTCTAGTCGAGCCTGCTCGACGCAAGGCTATCCCTTAACTTGATGAGAGCTAGGGGACTTTTTGCTAGCATCAAAAAACCAAAAACGAAAATCGATAAATGTCGATCATGAGGGGGTTTGAAGAAATTAGCACGAAAGGAAAACTTTTACAAGAAATGAGAAGCTATAAGACGAAAAGATAGATGAATATGACTGATATGCCTGAAAATAGATAAGTATCGATAATAACCCATTTAAAAAAAAGTATAAAAACTGAAGACTTTTCTATGAAATGAGAGGCATATAAAATCATCTGAAATCGACACGAGATAGATGCACAGCCGTATAGACAGATGAGCCTGACTAGAATGCTTGAAATCGATAAATAACAATTTTGCACATCATCATGGGAAATGAGAAGCTATATAAAAGCTTGTAAATCACAGTTTCTGTAAATATATAATGTTAAGAAATTTAAAAAATTACCTGCTTAGCCGGTTCATAGCTTTATATATAACTGGAATTAAGCTCTCTGGACTACTCTCATATTTTACAGGGCATAACACCATCAAGAGTCAAAGAGACATTGTGCCAAGTAGTGGCTGTTGCGTAAAGGACAGGAAATCCAGGAGCGAGTCCTTGTTGCTCGTCCAGGATTCAGGAGTGCGCTTAAAGCTTTGCACAACTGTTCATCAGAATTACAAATTGTATTCGATTTCCGGTATTTGTGACGCTTGAGCTAACAATAGAAGTTAACAGCCAAACAGGGTGCTGGGTTTTTTATTTATTCTTTTTCGGTGGGTTGGCTAACCCAACTAGCCACGCCCCCCGCCCAATACGCCCGCCCTGCTATGGTCGCGCACACAATTTAAATGCCATATAAAGTTTTATGCATATTGTGCACTTGTTGTTCTTTTTGCTGCTGCTGTTCTTGTTGCTATTGTTGTTGTTGATTTGTGCGTTAGTTTTACAAGTTGAGACAAAGACAAAGCCGGGAAACTGCGAATCATGTTCAGCTGCTC